TGGGGGAAATCACATCTCCAGAGGCTTGTTTTTGACACATGGTTGGACTATCTGTGCGTGGGGGGGGGAGGTCCAGAAAGCCAGGAAGAAGGTCCAGGAGAGGTTTGGGGGATGACCCAGAATGACGTATTAGCATGAGAGGCACTATGGGGGATGAAGCATTAGCAGTTGAGGGTAAGGTGCTGGGAATGGGAACTGTGGACAGTGGCTGGTGGGGTTAGAGGGTCGGAAGGGTGAGTGTCATCGATTTTGCCTGCAGTGTTTCACCTTAAGTCATTTCTACTTTTTTTGTGGATGGCAGGACTCCCCTGTGAATAAACTCCTCTATGCCCGGGAAATTCCTCGATACAAGCAGATGGTTGAGAAGTGAGTGGTTGGCTGACTAGGGCAAGGGCTACTGGGAGGGGAGGGGGACAGAGGAGAGGGAACTATGGGGCCAGCTCTGTCGGAGGTTGAAGTTTGGGGTGAGCGGAGGGGCCCATATGGGGCTCCCACTGGTCCTAGGGCAGGTTGACCCTTCCTTCATACCCCCCTACTGCCTAGGTATTACTCAGATATTCAGCAGAATACAACCGCCAGTTACCAGGAGATGAACTCAGCCTTGACCGAGTTATCAGGGGTGAGTAGCAGGGTCAGTACTGGGGAGGAGAGTGGGGCAGTTGTCCTAGGCTGAATGGATAACCTGGCCTTAGCAATGACGATTAGGGTAGACACCCAGGCCTGGACCTAGGTCAGATTATGGTCTGAGTGGGGAGACTGCCTCTCTCTCAGGAAGGAATTTAGAAAAAAGAAAAACAAAAAAAAACAAAAACCAGGAAAGGCATGAACAGATCTGAGTGTTTTGAATTCCTGGGAGGGAATGCTTGGATTGACTGGGGCAGATAGCCTGGAAGAGGGGCCACTTAACTAATCGTGGAAGGATGGGCGACAGGAGGGGGTAGCTGAAGACAATGCATCATAGCTCATAGGATCATAGATTTTCTTTGGTACATTTTTTTTTCAAATAACAAGCATTTATTTCCTCTTTCTCCTACTTTCCCTTCTGCCCCCCAGAAAAAAAAAAGTAAATACAAAACAAAAAACCTTTGTAACAAATCACATAGTCAAGCAAGACAGATTCCAAAAATGTATGCCTCATTCTGCACCCTGCGTCCACCAGCTGTCTGTCAGGAGGTAGGCAGCATGTATTATCAGGAGTTCCCTGGAATCATGCTTGATCAGACTGGTCAGAGTTCTTTCAGAGATGCTTATCTTTACAGTATTGTTGTTATTACATAAATTGTTCTCCTGGTTCTGCTCACTTCACTCTGCATCAGTTCATAGGAGTCTTCCCAGGTTTCTCTGAAACCATTTCTTACAGCAGGGCAATATTCCATTACATTCAGATGCCATCATCTCTTCAGTCAGCCCCCAATAGATGGGCACCTCTTAGTTTCTAGTTCTTTGACACTAGCTAGAAATATTTTTTCATCCTGCCTCCCTATTGACTACGCTGAGCTGTCTCAACAAACATTGGAGGCAGGATATGAACCCAGGTTTTCCTTATTTGGACTATAGAAAAAGGGTTGTGAGGAGACCAGTCTGGAGAGAGAAAAAGGGAGCAGGAGCATAAGATTGGGCTAGTAAGATGGGGACAGAATTAGTGTTTGGGGGGTGGGGAGGAACGGGCAGGACTGCTGGCGACCAAGTATCTAAAATAGGATGATTCTGACCTCAGTGGTCCCTTTCCCCACCAAGTCCTGACACTCTCGCCAACAATGTGTGTTCCTCCCAACCCCAGAACTATGCTTCTGACATCACCTGCCTGGTTGCCCTGCATGAGCTGTATAATTACATCAACAAATATTATGACCAGGTGAGAGGCAGGTGGGCTTCTGGTGGGGGTTGGAGAAGGGCCTAGAACCTTGGAGGGGAGAGGGGAGAACCCTTAAGGTTAGATATCTAGAACCACTTAAAGTTAGAGAGGAGGTGGAGGGAGTGGGGAGCTGAGTAATCAGCTTTGCTTGGACCACAGCTTTGCTTTAATCCCTAACATCTTGAAATGCCTTCAGAGGGGAAATCATTTCCCAAGTGCCAGACCCAAACTCCCTGAAAAAAGGGATCCTGACACCCAAGCTCAGAGTGGCTGTGCTGGGAGTGATGGTGTACGCCTCATCTCTCCCAGAGGTGCTCTGGGATGGGTGCTTCCAAAAGGTTTGCTCCAATTCTATGGGAAGGCCCCAGAGGGGGAGCCTGCCCTTGCCTAGGGAAGACTTCATTATGGTCTCCAAGGTTCAGCAGAGACAGAATTGGGGGAGGGGTAAAAAGGAAGGGGAGCCCAGGAAGGCAATGCTAGCTGATCAGATCTCCCTGGCTTCTTTCCAGATTATCAGTGCCCTGGAAGAGGACCCTGTGGGCCAGAAGATGCAGCTGGCCTACAGGCTTCAACAGATTGCCGCTCTGGTGGAGAACAAAGTTACTGACTTGTGAGGCCCTACCACCCAGGGGCCAGATCTTGGGCCAAGGAGAAGGAGATGGACCTGACTGGGGTGTGGGAGCTGCCCCAGCCAGGCCCTCCAGCTTAAAATCAACTGTCAGGGACCCCTCTCTCTTACCAGTAGTGCCTTTTGTCCCAGCTCCCTAGAGACCCAACTGGGTGACTCCGTCCTTACCGACTTTCCCTCCCCTCCCCCCAAAATGGAGCTAGAGAGGGCTTTAGAGCCTCTCTCTCCAGGACCCTCAAAAGAGGTTTGGGGTAGAGTGAGCCAGGAGGCTGGGTGGGGCACTGTTGGTACCCAGAGTAGTGGTCAAAGCTTGACCCTATTTTTCACAAGTATGGAGGAAATAGTGGGAAATAAACCCTATCTGGGACACTCTTCTGTAGTGAAGAAGGGGTAGGGGGTCAAACATTCAGGACTTCCCACTCAAGCCAGTCTGGCCTAGCCTGTGGCTTCCCCTTGCCCTGGTCACTAGGATCATTAGTGGGGGTAGTATGGGAGGGGAGCACCCAACTTTGCTTTTCTTATTGAGGCCTGTTAACTAAGGCATAGCTAGTCTCAGGCAGCCCAGGGTTATCCTAATTCACACCAGCTCCTGCCCTTTTTGGGATACTTAAAGGATGGCCTACACCCCTCCCATCTCACCCCCCCCATCCCATATATTTATTTACTTGCTGGAAAATTCCATTTGGAAATAAATGAGATCAAAGCCTTTAAAAAAAGTTTAAAATAATCTTCTCTTGTCATATTTCCTCATATTTCCTGAGGAGGACCATCGTCTTCACTTTTCAGAGGCCTGTTGCTGGGTCATAAGGGTGTGGGGATAGGGAGACAGGAATGACGCAGAAGAAATCCTGATCCTAGTAGCAATAGCTGGGGCTGGGAGCACAATTGCTGGGAGTGGGGGAAGACAGTAGAGTGCAAACTGTGGCACACACACACACACACACACACACACACACACACACACACACACACACACACACACTCAGCTCCTCTCTCTCCTGATTCTCCTCCCTCTCTGACCAATCTTTCTCAGTCTCCTATGCTGGATCCTTCTCAAGATCATGCCTTTGAACCATAGGTGACCCTCAGGGCTCTGTTCTGGGCCCTCTTCTCTTCTCACTCTAGACTGCTTTACTTGGGGATCTCAACAGCTCCCAAGGATTTAATTTCTATCTCTATGCTGATGATTCTCCCATCTACCCATCTTCTTTTTTTTTTTTTTGGCAGTTGGGGTTAAGTGACTTGCCCAGGATCACACAGCTAGTAAATGGCAAGTATTTGGTCTGAGACTGGATTTGAACTCAGGTCCTCCTGACTTCAGGGCCGGTGCTCTATCCACTGCGCCACCTAGCTGGCCCCCATCTACCCATCTTGCCCTAACACTCCTTCAGTCTGGCATCTCCAACTGTCTTTCAGTCTTCTCGAATTGTATGTCCAGTAGACATCTTAAACACAAGTCTAAAACTGAACCCATCATCCTTCCCTTAACCCCTTCCCACCCATGCTCCACCCCACCCCCCCGCCCCCACCCCGTCCCACCCTTCCCGGTTACTGTAAGCCCAGAGACAGGGATAGGAGACGGTTCTAGGTTCGGGGCAAAAACTGAGAGAGTGCGGTTGGCGCTTTTTGAAAAACCACTCAGCCGACTTCTGTGGAGCGTTTTCTGGGGATGGTAGTACAAAAGGAGACGGTCCACTCCTCCCCTCCAGACCGGTGAGGCTGAGGCAAGCAGTAACACCATTTTCCCAGGTCCCCGGGCTGGCAACATGTTGATCTCGACTCCTCCCGAAATTTCACACCCCCATATCCAGACCCGCGAAGGCTAGTCAATTCTCCTTTGCGACATTTCCCAAATTCTACCCCATTTCCTTTCTGACACTCCCTCCCTCCTTCCTCCATTCAGCCACAAAAGTGTTTTTCTTAAAGTGCGGGTTCGATCATGCCACCCCCGCGCCGCCACCCCCGCAAACCCCGGTGACTCCCTATTACCTCCAGGATCAAGTACAAAATGCTCTGTTTGGTGCTCAAGGCCCTTCATGGCTCAGCCCCCTCCTACCTTCCCAGCCTTCTTACCCCTTACTCCTGGACATGTACTCTTCGGTCTGGTGACCCCAGTCTCCTGGCTGCTCCTCCAACAAGACCTTCCATCTCTCTGCTCTGGGCATTCTCTCTGGCTGTCCCTCAATGCTCCCCCTCCCCCAAGCTTGACCACAGATCTCCCCGGCTTCCTTAAGTCCCAACTAAAACCACATCTCCTACAGGCAGCCCTCCCCAAGCCCTCTGAATTCCGGGGCCTTCCCTCTGGTCATTATTTCCTAGTGATCCTGTATAGAACTTGCTTTGGACAGATTTGTTTGCATGTTGTGTCCCTCCCTCCGCCCCCGCCCCCGCCATTAGATTGTGGGCTCTTTGAAGATTACCTTTTGTCTTAGCTTTTGGCACTGTGCCTGGTACTCATCAGGTGCTTAATAAATGTTTATTGACTGACCGCCTGCAAAATCCCTGCTGGGTCAGCCCAATATGGGGGAGTGGGGAAGAGGGGTAGAAGGCGGCTTGGGTCGCGGAGAGAGGAGGAGAGGTCGAACGGGAATGAGGGCCGTACTTGATTGAATATACTCAACAAACATTTCTGACCGAACGCCGGGAAGCGGGATGCAAAGACCACAGAGAAAGGCCGAGGAAGGGCACTCTAACGTCGGGGATGCTGGCGTGGCCGGTGGGAATGCATGGAGGGAGCAGCCTCCCTGGCAGGCCGAGAGTCAGGAATGGCAGGTAGCCATCCAGTTCGTCTGGAACAAATCGGGCGAGGGTAATGGGGATCAAAAGGCAGAGAAGTGGACAGAAAAAAACGGCATTGGCGGGGTCAGTCTGCCCCAGTCATTTTTTGGATGGGGAAACTGAGGCCCACAGAGACCACAAGGTGGTGAGGAAGCGCCCTCAGGGCGTTTCGAAAAACCAGCCAATGAGCGCTGGGTGCGGGGCGTTGGCTGGGTGGGAGGGGGGACCAGCGTATAAAAGGACAGCACCGGAGGGAGCCACTCCACCCCTAGCGATCTCTGAGGTGTGGGGATGCTGTCTCTGGACAGCTCCCCTTCGAGGTCCGCGTAACTCACACGCGGGCACCTGCTCCAAGCTTCCAGCTCACTTCTCTCTCTCTCCGCCGTCCAGGCGATCCAGTGCCACGTCGTCCGGGAACGAGGGGGCCGGTGACCGCGTGCCGGCACGCTCGCACAAATGCGGTCCGGGCCAAATCGGATGGACTTCGCAGCTGCGGAGATGAGCAACGAGAAAGGTAGGCACCAGGCCCGACGGGCCCAGGATCCAGAACAGACGGGACGGGGCAAGGCCAGCCAGGGCCAGGCAAAAAGCTGGGAGCAGGATCCTGGGCCACGCGCCGTGGCTGTGCCCCGAGCGGGCGAGCTCCGAGGGGACCGCAGAGCCTTCGGCTCTGGCTCACCAGTGCTCTCTTCTCTCCAATCCTGCCCCGCCCCGTCCCGTCCTGTTCCGTCCCCGCCTCCCGTAGAACCTAACCCGCCCAACTCAGACCAGAACAGCGAGAAGAAGCCGCAGAAGAAGGAAGGGGGCGGGGCGGGCGACGCTGGGGGTAGCTCCCCGCAATCGCGGGGGGGCCAGTCCAAGCAGCCCCGGTGGCGGCGGCGGCAGAAGCAACAGCGGCAGTCCCTGCTCCCGCGGCCCCCACCGCCATTGCCTCCGCCACTGCCTCCACCATTGCCTCCCCTGCCGCCGCCGCCGGCCGAGCCGAAGAACCAGCACGTGCAGCCCAAGTAAGTGCGCGCGACAGCCAGGTGGGGGGCAGATCCCCTAGGAGGGGAGGCTCGACATTCTCTGGGAGGGAGGCCCAAGTTGTACGGGGGGGTGGGGTGATGGCGCAGCAGGTGCCGATCAGAGTCAATCCGAGACACTGGGGTGAGGGGGGTCGGGGGAGGAGGGGCGCGAGTTCTGGGCGGCCTGGCCCGGAAAGCCAGGCAGGATGGACCCCCCAGGGCCAGTCGGGGGGATTCTGGGAGTTCAGAGGCTTTCTAGCGGGGGTGGGGTGGAGGGTGGAGGGGGCGTGGCAGGTCCCGGGCTGGCCACTCTTTACCCCTAGACTTAGGAGAAAAGCCTCCAAGAAGTTGAAACAGACTGAGGAACTGATGAGCCTCTTTCGGTCGGGAGAGTAGAGACAGGCAGAGAGACCAGCTCACCCATGGACCCCCACAGGGTGCTTATAGGACTTGAGAGTTTAGAACTGGAACATGTAGTCCAGGTGGCCGATGTTGTCAGATTCCCTGGGGAAGTCTCTGTTTCGGGAGTATGTGCCTTTAAGAGTTAAAGGACCAGGACCCTCAGCGAGTCGGTAGAGTGGACTTTTTTGGGTGGTAGGGGGAGGGGACCTTTCCACTGACATACCTTTCCCTTCCCTAAAAGCAGCTGAGAATCTATTTATAACCCTTTCCCTGGCCAGCCGAGTGAAATCACCCCAGCTATAAATGCCCCTCAATCCACTCTCCCCACAGTAGAGATAAGGTCTCCCTCCTCCCAAAAAAATTCCAAAAGGAGAAATTGACGTCAACCCCCCATCCCCACTCCCTACCTCCAACAGGCTAGGCCAAGTGACTGAGGGCAGAACACCCGAGCTCTTCAGACCTTGGTGTTGGGGACTGGGGGATCAGTTAGATAGATTTTCCTGGTAACCCCCTGACTTGGGGTAGAGTAGGTAGGGGTGTAGTGTGCTGGTGAGGTCAAGATGAGCTCAAGCAGCAGCAGCAGCGACAGGTAGGGGGGTGCCCTCAAGTCTGTGGGTCTAGATAGAGAAATGGACCTCTTTCTGGGATTCTCTCTGCCCAGAGTAGAGCTGGGCAGCCCTGGAGAATGTGGGGGGGAGGGGCAGTGGAGTGTGGGGGAGGAAGGGAACCTGGTGGGACAAACTGGAAATTGGAGGGAGGACTGGGGGAATCCAAGAAGGCTTGGAGGGTATAACCTGAGGACTTCCCTCTCCACCCCTACCAACAAGTTCACATCTTGCATGTGGCCAAGAGTTCATTGACCCGGAGGTGAGAGCTGATCGGGTGCTACCCCCCATGGTACTGGAGGGCCTTCTGGGCTCTGATGATGAAGAACAGGAAGACCCCACCGATTACTGCAGGGGTAATGGAGAGCTGCCAAAGCCAACTTGGCCTCCCCCCTTTGGATGGGAGGTGGGGGATAAAGGGTCCATCCCAGGGCAGGCAGCCTGAATAAAGAGAAACAAAGGCAGCTTCGGTCTCTCCCCTCTCAGGAAGGGAAGGGGATGGAGGTGGGAGGACCAAGCCAATAACACCAAACCCCTTCTTGTTCCCCTGCCCTCTGTTTTCTTATGCGGGGGGGGGGGGGAGGACAGACAGAGAAGGAGACAAAGGTTTCATCCATAGGGAGCTCAGCGAGCCTATGTGGGCCATTGGAGTATGGTCCCAATGATTAGCACAAATAGTGAGCCTGTAAGGGATGGGGGTGGCTAGGCAGAGGCACCTGGACTGACTCGGGGCCTTGGAGAAGTGGTATCCTAACAACGGGTAGGTAGGCCTGAAGTCTTTCCATCCGCCTTCCCTCCCCCCACCCCAAGGTGGTTACTACCCAGTGAAGATTGGAGACCTGTTCAATGGACGATACCACGTGGTTCGAAAGCTGGGGTGGGGCCACTTCTCTACTGTCTGGCTCTGCTGGGATATCCAGTGAGTGACCCCTCTCCCACACCCTCCTCCTGGCCCATTTGGCCAATCTCGCTCTCCCCCCTCCCATCCTTGGATTTGAGGACCCAGACAGTGACGTTGGTGGTGACAGGTAATCGGGGGTCTCTTTTTTAGGCGGAAGCGGTTTGTGGCCCTGAAGGTGGTGAAGAGTGCTGTCCACTATACTGAGACTGCCGTGGATGAGATCAAACTGCTCAAATGTGTAAGTCCTCACCGTGCTTTTTGGACTTCCGTGTGTGTGCCCCGCCCCCATCCCACTAGAAGCGCGGACAGTAAGAAGCAGGAGGGGGAGAGAGAGCTCAGAGGAACAAATTCCCCGATGGCGTGGAAGGCTCTCTGGACTCCTCTGCTCCTCACCTCGTCCCCCACCCCCATCATAGTCTTGATGCCTCCAGGTCCGGGACAGCGATCCCAGTGACCCCAAGAGGGAGACTGTCGTGCAACTCATCGATGACTTCAGAATCTCAGGGATCAATGGTGTCCGTATCCTTGGGAGTTTGGCTAATTCTGAGGGTTTGGGCAGCGTGCAGGGGGACTGGAGAGGGGGATTAGGAATAGGAATAGGTGACGTCCTTACCCTCTGCATTACTGCCCTGTTGAAAAAATAAATAAATAAAAGGGGGGGGGGGATTACCAAGAAGTAATCGGTGGCCAAGGATTCCCTTGGGTTTGGAAGCCCCTCTGGAAAGCTGTCTTGGGGGAGTGGGGAGCCATCTTCCCCCCCCATCCCCTCACCTACCCCCCCAGCACCGAGAGGGAATGTCCTTGTTCAGTTCGATGTGCCTTCACTCCTCTGCCCGGCCAGATGTATGCATGGTATTGGAGGTTCTGGGTCACCAGCTCCTCAAATGGATCATCAAATCTAACTACCAAGGCCTTCCCCTCCCCTGTGTGAAGACCATCATGCGGCAGGTGGGGCTGGCTTGGGACCTGGGCTGGGGGGTGGGCAGGGGGCACTCAAGAAGGGAAGGGAGCTCCTTGGGAATCAGCTGAGACCCAAAGCTAGTAAGTCTTATTATTTGTCGGGCACTGTTCCGAGTACTGGGAAGGCAAAGATAGGATCCATACCCTTGGGGAGTGGATATTCTAATAGGGCCCTGGTTGGCTAATTAATTGCTTACTGACCTCTTCCCAGTCTTGACAGTGTTGAGTATGTGTGAGCCTACAATTAGAAGTGCTCCAGGTTCGGCCTCTTACTTAACCTGGTGAATCACTCCATCTCATTCACATAACCTCAGGCCTCCAGGGCAGTAGAGAAGTCAGTCATAGCTTTAGTCAGAAGGCCAGAGTAGGAATCCCAGCTCTGAAGCTTGTCACTTCACTGCCTTAGGCCTCTGTTCCTCATCCTGTATTCTCAGGTTATGGAATTATGTTTCTAGATTGGGTTTATGGTTACTCTACTGGACTTCTGCAATGTAGCTGCTAGCTACTCTATTCTGTTGAACAACTCTCTTCTATTTTTTAACTAATATCAAATTGTTTTTTATAATTTCTGACTTGTAGTATAGTTTTAAGATCTCATTGTACTAGGCCCTCATCATTCATCCATCTATCTATCTATCTATCTATCTATCTATCTATCTATCTATCTGTCTATCTATCTCTAATTTCCTTTGAGTCTTGACCTCAGAACTCTGGATCAAATTCTGTTATTATCTTCTAGTTCTTAATCAGATAAACTCTTGATCATTTGGTTGGTATGTGGGCCTAAGTTTATTCATCTGTAAAATGAAGAGTTCAGGCCAAATAACCTCTTAAGGTCTTTCCCTACTCCAATCGGTGAGCCTATGATTCTCCACTGGTGGGGGTGAGGAGAAGCTTGGGGAAATCCAGTTGATCATTGATGGTTCCACCGCTAGGTGCTGCAGGGCCTGGATTACCTCCACACCAAATGTAAGATCATCCACACTGACATCAAGCCGGAGAACATTCTTCTGTGTGTGGGTGAGGTCTACATCCGAAGGCTGGCAGCAGAGGCTACATTGTGGCAGCAGTCGGGGGCCCCACCTATCTCTGGCAACACTGGTACTGCTTGGGCTGGGGATGTGGGAGTGGGGGAGGCACCTTCCCTTAGCCCTGGCCCTCTTGTCCCCCAGCCCCTGGGATCTAAGAATTCCCTCTGCCATCTGACCCCCTTAACTTTTCTCTTCTCTCTCTCTCTCTCTCTCTCTCTCTCTCTCTCTCTCTCTCTCTCTCTCTCTCTCTCTCTCTCTCTCCCCCTCTCCCTCCCTCTCCCTCTCTCCCTCCCCCCCCCTCTCTCTCTCCCTCTCTCTCTCCTCCCCACACCTCCTCTCTCTGGCCTGTCGTCTTGGCCTACTCTAGTGAGCTCTGCGCCCCAGCAGATCACGGTAAGTTGGTACCCTGGTACCTGTCCCATGCTTCTGAGTTTACTCAAAGTTTGTGTTCTCCTCCCGTGGGACATACTAAAGGTGCAGGGATGAGAGAAGCAAAATTTGGGGGCAGGGCCCCCCTTATTTCCACTACCCAGTCCTGGGAGGAAGCTGGGCTGTGGCTGGGGGTAGTGCTGGCTGAAGCCTTGTTGAACAAACCTAGTTAATAAATTTACCTCACAGTCTCTGAGAACTGGGACACACGATGTAAGTTACTCGTCAAGTTTGTCAATCAAAGTCAATTCTTCAGAGTTCTTTTTGAATATCATTTGTTCAATCTACTCGGGAATGGTGGGTTGGAGAGTGGAGGAGACTTGCCCTGCCCTCAGGGAGCTTAGGAGGACAGTCTACCAGCAGGCCCCAATTCCCAATAATCTGCTCGTGAATAGGTTGCTTGGTCTGACATTCCCAGACTAGGTCCCATCCAGCCTGTAGTGAGTGACCTATGAATGAAGTTAATAGCTAGCCTTTAAGAAAGGGTATGTTGGGAAAACAAGCCTTCACGTCCCAGGACACTGTGGATCTGACCAACCATTGAAAGATATAATTGATAACTCAGATCAGACGTCTGTAAAACAGGGAGTGCTTGTACCAGGGTCGTAGGACATCAGAACTAGTAGGGTCATAGAGGCTCCTAACCCCACCCCACCCCCTCCTTACAGAGGAGGAAACTGAAGGGCCAGAAGGGGGAGGAGGGGCTTTGAGGGCTAAAAAAAAGGGGGGGGAAGGAGCTTGGCCTGAATAGTAGAGCTGGGCCATCAAGAGAGGGAGTTGGGGGATCTATTTACCAATTCCTAGGATCATAGAATTAGCCCTCAAAGGGACCTTAGAGGTAATCTAGTCAAGCTCCCTTACTTTACAGTAAGGGGCAGTTAGGGGGTGCCACAGTTCAAAGAGCGCTGGGCGTAGAGGCAAGAAGACCTGAGTTCAAATTTAGCCTCAGACATTTACTAGCTGAGTGACCCTGGGCAAGTCATTGCCCCCCCTCTGCCTCAGTTTACTCAACTGTAAAAGAGGGATAGCACCTGTGTCCCAGGGTTGTTGTGGGGATCAGAAAAAGATAATCATTGAGTAAGCACTATATAAATGTTAGATATTATTATTTACAAAGGAGTGACTGGGTAGGGGGAGATAGGGACGTGTACTCTGAACTCTCCTGGGGCCTTTGGACTGTGCTTGTGACCTTGAGGGCTGATGAACCAATCTGGGGCTTCCTCAGCTTGGAACTGCTAATGGGGGAGGTCCATGTGAGCCAAACCTTTGCTTCTCAGAGGGGGAGGGGTTCCTCTCCTCCCCCCTCCCCACCCTTCATACACCTGGGCTCCTCTCTGCTTAGAATGTCAGGCTCTCTAAGAACAAGAAGAAGAAGATGAGACGCAAGCAGAAACGGCAGAAGCAGCTCCTGGAGGAACGCCTTCGGGACCTGCAGCGCCTGGAGGACCTGGAGGGTGAGAGGGGCCTGGAAGGCCTGCTGGCTCCACCATCCCAGCCCCCTGACATGGACTCAGATGAAGCTGTAGGGGCCACATGTGAGTGAGGCTTCCTCTGCCGGGGGAGGGAGGAAGAGGGAAGGGCTACCTCCCTGCCCCTCATCATACCTGGCCTTTATTCAGCCCCTCTGGGAGAGATCAGGTGGGAGGTACGAAGGCTCACCCTATCTCCCACAGGCACCAACTCACAGCTGGGCGAAAGCAGCGGGACCACCCTTGCTGAGGCGTCTGGGGGCAGCTTGGCATGCAGTCCCCAGAGCCTGACTTCCTCTTCAGGCTGTCACCCGTGGGGAGGTGGAGGGGCCTCCCCGGCCTCTTCCTCACCACCTTGGGGACAACGCGCAGGCAACCGAGGCTTCAGCCCTGACTCACAGACTTCTGGATTTTCGGGGTCCCTCTTCTCCCCCACCTCGGGCTCCACCCTTTCAGGCTTTTCAAACCGTCAGGAGAAGGGGAGACTTTGCTCCCTCAACAGTAAGTGGGGGTCACATGGCTGGACTGATTAGGAAGGCTCCACCTGTCTGGAGCCCCCTTTTCAGCCCCCTCTCCTTACCTTCCCCTGACTCAGGAACATTCAATGCCTCAGACTTCCTGGTGAACCCTTTGGAACCACAGAATGCAGACAAGATCAAGATTAAAATCGCTGATCTCGGCAATGCTTGCTGGGTGGTATGACAGGGGAAGCAGGGAATCGCCCCTTTTGCCTTCCTGAGGTCTCCACAGGCCTCTTTGGCCCCTAGGCTGTGGTCAGGCAGTCACCCCATAAAATGGGCTATGCATGTGCAAAGATTTCTGGGGTAATCTTGGTCTCCCACCTTCCCCCTCCGCCCCCCCTCCCCCCAGTAGTGTAATCATTTTATTGATAAGGCCAGCACCTTTATTAATAAAGTCATTTGGCTGTCTCTCTTAGATCGAAGACAGTCATGGCGGTAGGCTCAGGGCTTGTGGGTTATTTTGGAAGAGAAGTGTTCAAAAGGATGCCAGGCAACTCTGATTGGTTAACAGTTAGTGAGAGAATGAATATTCCAATGGGGGACTGGACCTGAACTTTGATTAAATCATCTTCTTTATAAATAACCACCCAAACCTGAGTAGAACACAATGGCTATCCCCACTCTGAGTGGGGTCTGAACAAGAAAGTTAGTCCAATCTCGTTATCAGCAATGTCCTTCAAGAGACTGAACTTTTAAAATCAGGACTTTAGAAAAAAGGGAGAGAAATCTGGATCTCCCCAAATCATTTCTCTCATTCCCCCATTTGATTCTATTGAGAGGCAGGACTCCTCAATGAATCACTAATTGATATGAAGAATGTTACATCAAGAGTTTCTAACTGTCCCACCTTTTCTTAGTGGACAGCCCCAGACTGGAAGTCAGGGGTCCTGTCTGGGGTATAATCTTGGGGTGCTGCTGTATGATCCTAGCCAAGGGCCTAGGGCATGCACTAAAGCCAAGCATGCCAGGGCTACTTCTACTGGGTGGCAGCCAGTGGGAGGCTCAGTACCTGGATCAGCTCATCCCTGCTGATCTCCAATCAGGGATCTGGGATGGTTTTTGTTTTTTGTTTTCGCTTTTTGGTGAGGCAATCAGGGTTAAGTGACTTGCCCAGGGTCACACAGCTAGTAAGTGACATGTGTCTGAGACTGGATTTGAACTCACGTACTCCTGACTCCAAGGCTGCAGCTCTATCCACTGTGCCACCTAGCTGCCCCTGGGGATGGGTTTTTTTTTAAAGTATTTTGATAACTATTTCAATAGAATTAATTTCCTTTGTAATCCTGGTGATTCATTTTAAACTGTGACAAAAATGGTTAAGAACCCCTGCTGTGGGTAGAGTAGTCCAGAGAGGAGGGGGGAAGTTAGGTTCCCCCATCTGACTTCACCCCCACCTCCCCCCACCCCCCACTCCCTCATGTCCCAAGGAGACCATTTTCTCAGGGCCAAGGCCCCAAGCACTTCTAGTACCAATGGAGTCAAGTGGGAAGGTCTTGGGCATTAGAAGGCAGGTATGGGTGGTTCGGAGAGCAGGGCTAGCTGAATTCTGTTCCTCAGACTTGAGGCCGGCCATACTGGTTCTGGCAGGCCCCGTCTGCAGCAACTTCTTTCCCTTACTCCCAAGCACAAGCACTTTACTGAGGACATCCAGACCAGACAGTACCGGGCAATCGAGGTGCTTATCGGAGCAGAGTATAGCACACCTGCTGATATCTGGAGCACTGCCTGCATGGTAGATATCACCGATAGGACCCCATGCTCCTTGACCCACCATGCCACTCCTTACTGCCTTTGTCTTTCCATCCCACTTATTCAAGATATGGCTCTAGGGCCAACACCAGCCCTTCTCTTGGGCCTCAAGAGTCAACTCAACCCCTTCTCTCTTTATCCCCATCCAGGCTTTTGAGCTGGCCACAGGAGACTATCTGTTTGAGCCACACTCCGGAGAAACCTATACTCGAGATGAAGGTGGGTGAGGTACACACAGAGAGGGAAATGAGACTCACTGTTAGCACCTGGGGGACAAGCGAAAGGGAGGAAAGTGGGAGGGGCAGAGCACTTACTGTAGCTCTCGTCTCCCTCCCAGATCACATTGCCCACATTGTGGAACTCCTTGGAGACATCCCTCCAGCCTTTGCCCTCTCTGGCCGCTATTCACGGGAATATTTCACTAGACACGGTACTAAGCTGCAGGGGCCTCTGGGAGACAGGAGGGGGTGGAAAATCAGGTGAATCACACTCCTCAATTTCTAGCCAGGCTGCCTAGTGCCAAGTGCTGAAAGCCAGGTTTTTCCATTTTAGCCAGACTAGCCAAGTGTCCCGAGTGGCCAGTGCCTCTCTCCGGGAGCTCCCATTTTCCTGTGGGTCATTCCTTTCTGCTCAGAGGTAGTACCAAGCTGTGTGTGCTAAATACCAACTCAGGTGCCAGGCACTGTCCTAAGGGGCTGGTATTGGCGCTGGAGCCGTATCTTGAACAATAAGTGGGACAGAAAGACAAAAGCAGGAAGGAGTGGCGTGGGGGGTCCTATCAGAGAAGTTACAGCCATATTTGTCCAGTGGGAACTGGAGCTGAGAAAACTCAGATGGCCTGTGTGGAGGAAGACGCAAGCAGGTAACCAACTTCTAAGTAAGCTAACCAACTCTGGCTGTCCTAGGTGAGCTCCGTCACATTAAAAATCTCAAGCACTGGGGTCTGTATGAAGTCCTCATGGAGAAGTATGAGTGGTCACTGGAGCAGGCAACACAGTTCACAGACTTTCTGCTGCCCATGATGGAGTATATCCCCGAAAGGCGGGCCACTGCTGCTCAGTGCCTCCAGCACCCCTGGCTCAACTCCTAAGCCCAACTCCTCCTGTTCTCCCTGCCCTAGTTTGCTGTGGTAGAGGGTGGCCTGCTTTTGAAATGTGCCTTGGGACCATGCCAGATGGGGGAGGAGACCATCTCAAGAGGTCAAGGCACTGCTTCAAGTGCAGTCAGCCCCAGCCCCCAGGCACCAGGCTCACCTAATCAACGCCTGTGCCACTGGAGAGGCTTCCAAAGCTGACCCCAGTCTCCCCCATCTCTCGGAACCTTGGTGCACCCTCCTTTCAGGCCCATAGATAGCGTGCTAACTTATGCTGGATCATTTTAGCCAGCAGTGTTTCTGGAGAAGGATTTAGAGTTGTTTTCCAACCTGGTTTCCTCCTTTCTGATCCCAATTTTCAGCTCAGGGCAAAAAAAAAAAAAAGCAATAAAATTGTTTTTCTTACTGAAGATCTTGCTTGGTGTGAAACTCATTTGTCAGGCAGGCTTGGCTAGAGTCTGATGGGGCCCAGGAGGGGCAGGGAAGGAGAGAAGTTAGATACTTTCTGGGGGAGACACAGACACTGTCATCTGTCTTCCCACCCCCACCTTCACTCAGTGTTTATTAAAACATGACAGATGACATACCTACCAGGTGGCAAAGAGGGAGTTTGAGGCCCCCTTGGTACCAGGTTCAAACAGAAACACTCCAGGCAGGCTGGAAGGGGACACAGTTGTTTAGTTTATAAGCTAAGAAGCAGGGGAAAGGAATGCACACTTGAGCTCAAGGAGGGGGTGCCCCCTGCCCAGACTCAAGTGTTGTATCTGACAAGAAAGTTATTATTAGGGGCCAATAAATAAGCAGCACAGCTGGAGGGATGTGTGGAGGGGGAGCTCAGCTGGCAGGGTGTCAAGGGCTAGACCTCCATGGCCTGTCCGTTGATGACTCTGATGTGACGGATGATGTCCTGGATCGCTTCTGAGGTGGTGCCTTGGCCCCCGATGTCTGGAGTGTGCATCTAGGAACAGAAACCCACATGGGCAAGGGCAAATCAAAACGCCATCCACAAAACAAGAGGCCAAAATTGCTAAGGGCGTTTGTACAGAAAAGCAGCCCGGGAGCAGAGGCCTCAGAGCTAGCTGGGCTTGATAACCTCCAATCCAACAAGAAAACCACCCAGAGATCTGGTGGAAGGCATGCAAGTCACAGTTCTCTGACTACACCCGCGAGATTCGGTCCCTTAACTAAGACTGAAGACAAAACACCGAGAGAGGAAGAAACAGCTTCAAAAATGTATTCCCTGAAACCAGAACCTGGGAGCACAGGGGGCAGTGGTGGAATCTTGGGGCAAGAGAGCTGCTAAGCCTCACATTTTCATTGTCCATCGATGCCAGGACAGCCTTCCGGATCGAGGTGGCATATGAGTGGAGCCTGTGGAAGAGAGGAACAGAGGATGGGGAGAGCTCCACAGGCCCCAGGACAGAAGGGAGACAAGACAATGAGTGCCCCCCACCTCCCGCTGCCAACACGAAAAGACAAGAAGCCCAGCTTACTTCAGATGGTCCAGCATCATGCAGCTGGCCAACAGGGTGGCCGTAGGGTTAGCGATGTTCTTATTGGCGATGCTTTTACCTGTGTTTCGAGTTGCCTGAAAGAAGATGGGGCCAGGCATGTAAAGGTGGTCTTCGGGAAGGGAACAATTCCAGCTACTTCCCTCTCACTTCAATCGTAGCCACTCACCGTCTCAAACACTGCATACACATGTCCATAATTTGCCCCCGCCACAAGACCGGGGCCCCCAACTAGGCCAGCGCAGACGTTATTGACGATGTTGCCATAAAGATTGGGCATCACCATGACATCAAACTGCTGGGGCCGAGATACAAGCTGTAGACAGAGAGCTTGGGTCAGAGAGAAATGCATGGAACTTGGCCTACATCCACCCAATCCCTAACATACTAGAAGAACCCTGGGCCAAGCACAGAAGTCCAGACTGTCCTCAGGGACCGCACAGGAGAAAACAAAACAGACACAAAAATCAAACTTCAGAGGAGGGGACACGGTCACTGTGGGGTTTTTTGTGAGGCAACTGGGGTTAAGTGACTTGCCCAGGGTCACACAGCTAGTAAGTGTCAAGTGTCTGGTCTGAGGCTAGATTTGAACTTGGGTCCTCCTGACTCCAGGGCTGGTGCTCTATCCACTGGGCCACCTAGCTGCCCCTAGATATGGTCACTGTGGAAAATGACTTTCACATTGGGTGAAAGTCCCCTTGGCAAGGTAGGGGAATCAAGAAAACTCATTTCCTCCTCCCTCCATGGCACCACAATGGCTAAAATATAGCACCCAAACGTCTAAAAACCAAAACACACTCACGTTTAAACTCAAATGTCCAAGTGAACCAACCCAAGGCGCAATCAAAATGAATCATGGTCTGTGTGACCCTGGGCAAGTCACTTAACCCCGATCACCTCACCAAAAAAAAAAAAACCACACAAAACATGGTTGAGTTGAAAAAGCTGGCTCATGGCTCTGGGGTTCGGTCCTGGCTTTGCCCTTCGAATCAGAACTAGAACAAAGCTCATCTAAACTCCACTGCGGAGGGAGCTGCAGGTTCAGGCCTAACCCAGAATGGCCTCCCAGCAGGCTTTCTGCTCTGTCAGGGCAGTCTGGTGAGTCCCTGGGCTTCAGCAGCTGCCATCTACATGCCTGAGGAGTTGGATTAAGATGATCCGTCCCTGCAGCCTTTTCCAGCTCTATCATCCAAGGGCGGTTTATCTGCTTTGGAAAGATTATGGGTCTACTGCCGACGGCGCAGACACACTAAACTAGAGCTGCTGTATAACTCTGGGTCCTGGAGCTGGGAGAGGAGGCTACAGTTGACCTGGGCCTAGTCAGACAGTAGGGCGGGCTAGGGAGGTTGACCGTGGCGCCCAGGAGCCAAGTACCTGCATTGTGGTGTTGTCTACAATCATACTCTCGAAAGTGATGTTGGGATAGCCTGCAGCCACCTCCTTACAGCACTGGAGAAAGAGGCCATCTCCCAGTTTCCTATGAGAAGGACAGAAAGCTTACCTGATCACAAGAACTGTAACATTCACTGAAGTGGTAGAGAGTGATGAAAAAGCACACAGGATTGGAACAGGAGCCCTGGATTCTAGTTCTGGTTCTGCAACCAGCTTGCTGTATGACCTTGGGCAATCCCTTTCCCTCTCTGGGACTCAGTTTCCTCATCTGTAAAATGAGGAGGCTGGACTAGATCTTTCAATGAGTCCTATGATCTGGGGTTGCGGTTGGGAGGAGGGGGTGGAGAGATGAGGAGAAACAGCATGAAAGGAATGGGGGGGCACAGCAATAAATGAATCAGTTGTCATCAGTCCCCCTTCCCTGCCCCCCCCAACTCCCTACATGATGTTGGCCTTGTGCACGGCAGTCACTTTCTTGCGCCCGGTTTCCTGGGCCAGGCGGAAGGCATACTCGGCAATGCGCAGGGACTTGGCCTTGGTGATGATCTTCAAACTTTCCACCACACCTGAAACGCTCTGTAGGGGTAAAAAGGTGGGGGTGATTCCTCTTCCCCTGGGAAGACTTCAGCTCCTTATGGGATTAGAAAGAGTAGGGCACTGGCCTCATCTACTTCTAATCCAATTCAAGGGTCAAAAGAGATCCTAGCCTGACCACTCCCTCCCATGCCAGGAAGCAGAAGAAAGAGAAGATGCAGGCCTTCATTGCAGGGAACCCAGTCTAGGTCGGAAAGACAAAACTTCAACAGTAAAGAACCAGAGCCTTCGGAAGTCTCATCTTATTGCCTCGACTAGAGTAAAAAGACTGGTTTCGTAAACTGACTTACCAGAATATATTTCTCCATACATACAAGCTGTGGCCCCCTAGCACACTGACCCATGGAAGCTGCCCTAGTTCAGACCACTAGGAGACTTCACTGGAATCTCCCTTAGAGATGGTTTAGGCCGGGGACTCAAGAAAGAACTAACCACTGTGCATGACTCCAGAAGGTTCTTATTTCCCCAATCTCCTCACACTTGACTACCAACAATTCAGGGATACTGGTCTGCAGGGGATCAATTCAAGGCCATTCAAAATCATCTATTACAGGCTCAAAGAGTAGCATCTCTAATGTCCTGAGCCAATACTGAGTTGCCTGGTGGCAATCAGCATAGAGCAAGAGTGGGGAAGCTGCGGCCTTGAGGCCACACGTGGCCCTCTAGATCTTCAATTTCGGCCCTTTGACTGACTCCAAACTTCACAGAACAAATCCCCTTCATAAAAGGAATTGTTCTGTAAAACTCGGACTCAGTCAAAAGGTCCCACCTGAGGTTCCCCACCCTTGGTATAGAGCTTTTCAAGGGCACTGCCGTGAAGGCTAATGTTAGGTTGTTTGCAGTTCTAGTGAGTTTGTTAAAAAAAACCAAATGAAATGACTGCTGAGTCATCTAGGTTACTTCTGTCTCTACCTAACCCAGGCCCCCAGCTGAGCCCTAGCTCTCCCTCCTGCTCCAGCCCCTGCACTGAAAGAGCCTCAGATGGAAGAAGGGCAGTCAGGAGAGCTGGCTGCGAAGTCTGGCTCTGCTCCTAATCCTTTTTTTTTTTTTTGGGGGGGGGTGTAAATTTTTAAAAATTTTAAATTTAAATGCAAAATGAGAAAAAAAACCCCACTGCCATGTACACAGCAAAACATGAGAGAGGATTCAACATGAAATAATAAATTTCCATTTCAAGGAAACCTATATAATATAATACTACAAATTGTTTACCAAGCTATCCAGTTTTTCTTTGCTTCCTCCTAGATTTTCTTTTGTTCTCTGCTGCGCACTTTTTACTTTATTTTTTCTGCCTCCTCCCTCCCCCAGGCTACAATTAAGCACAGATATATATATATATATACACACACACATACATATACACACACACAGATATCTATAAACATACAAATACTCTCTCTCTCACACACACACACACACAAAACCATACTATGCTTATTTCTTCCTATCATCTGCTTTTCTGACAGTGGATAGCATCTTCCTTCATAGGCCCAAGTCCATGTTCTTCTAAATCAACCAGCTCATCATTTCCTATGCCGCAGCAAGGTTCCAACCCAACCCCATTCTATCTGAGAGATTGTCTATCAAAGTTTCCCCCTCATTTTCTGCATTTTTTCTATTCTTGGCTGCATAGGTTTTATTTATACAAGGAAATTTTAATTTAAAGTAATCTAAATTATCCATTTTATACTTCAACAATGCTCTCACCTTATAATATGGTTTAAGGTTTGATACTGCTGAATCTGCTTCCTTTACATCTTTTTTTCCCCTGGTTTCTCTGAAGTTCCTGACCTTTTGTTCTTCCAAATAAACTTTGTTATTATTTTTACTAACTCAGTATGAGAATTTTTTTAGTATCTGCTCCTAATTCAATAGGCAGCTCCAGATAGGCCAGTCTTGTAAGGATCCTGCTT